GACGGCGGGGTGGGCTGTCACTTGGCCCATAGGGTCACCCCAAAGCAGCCGTGACAGCTTACCGCCCTTACACCATCCCTGTTACTTCCTTCTTCGTTAAATAATGTGGTTTTTTGCTAAACTGTACTTCCTTTCCTAGTTTTCTCTGTTCGCTGTGCCATGCCTGACCAAACTGATGGCACAGGTGAGACCTGGGGAGGAGTAAGCGATGAACAGCCCAACATAGTCAGCCCTGGCCCTGTAGGCACGGCCTGTGGCACTGCCGAAGAGACCGAAACGCTCAGCGAGCCCAAGGCCTGAAGGTCAAGGTCTCGCCTGCCCTCACCCAGTGCGAGCAGGGAGCCAACAACCCACAGCCGCACGAGGCCTTGTGCGCTGGCCTGCCCGCCCTCTGCGGCAGTGCCCCACCAGCACAGCTGAAAGCTGCCCGCAGGTAGCAGACAAGGTTTCCTGGTGTAGTCAGTCCCCCAAGGTGTCTGCACCACAGTGACTTTGACAGCTTCCGCACCAAGAAATCTAAGCACGGAGATACTATCATAAACAAACCACAGGCACCTTTACATGCTTATGGACCAGGCTCTGCATGTGCTGAGCTTTGAAAACTGTACCGACTGCTACTTACACCAACCCCAAATTCCTTTTTTTAATAGATGAAAATGCAAATTGAAGATCAAAATGAATTAACAGTATAGCTTAGACAAGGCCAAGTCAGTGCCAATCAAACACTGTCAACAAGCACATTGGTGTAATGCAACATGGATGCTATGCCTGTTGGTTTGCAGGTCTTAAAAAGCACCTAAGTGAAACCAATGATTCTGCAGAACACAGAATATTCCATGTCCTAATGTTTAAACTGAGTTTTTAATGTGTGTGCTTAATTTGCTAATGAAGCAGATGACTAGGCACTCCAGCAGGTCAAGAGGGGCAGGATATAGGTCATGTTAGTAAACAATAAAAAAGAAAAAAATCAATGTGACCCTTGTACTCAAGAGCAAAAAAGTGCATTTCTAAGAGAAGAAACTGCATAAAATCCTTTAAAAATTCCTCCAGGGCTTTCTATGTACATTGTAGCAGAGTCTAAAAAACCAAACCCAAAAGGTAAAAAGAAAAGACAAGGCCTGGCATGCATTTCCACACCCTTTTCCAGGTTATTTTGACAAGCTGTTACAACAGCCTGCCTTCCCCTTTGCCCACAAGGGGCCTAAGAGACTTCAGCGAGAGCTTCCCATGCTGCACAGCACAAAAAGCAACTACAAGATACAAAGCAGTGTAGGCATAAAGGTAAATAAACTAATAACAAAAAGCAACAAAATAGTAGTCTGTGCTATTTCAAGGGCAAAAACTACGCATCATTAAGCACTGCAGAGTTTTCCCCTTTAATAAACCACCTCCACCACCCAAAAGGCCTGACGCGGACCAGGACCTTCCAGGCTCACGCAAACAATAACACGTTAACGACGCTAATACTTTTTCTGTCTTTCAGCTCAGCTCCCCGTGTTCCAAGGGTTGTATGTTAATGCTCAACTCAGAGCGGTGACACCGAGATGTCCACGGTTGACGGAAGACGCCGATCACCGGCGCGGTTTTTACTGCTGTGCTTTGTAAACCTTGTCATCAGGCCTCGCTGTGCTGAAAGCAGCGGTTGCCCAGCACCACCCTGATGCGAGAGAGCTCTCACCAAGGCCAGGGATTTCCAGGGGAAGGAAGGTTTTCTGCAACGCGATCTCATTTTGCAACAGTTGTCTTTTTTGAAAGAGGAAAAAAGAAACCAAAAAACCCCAGCCTTCAGGGCTGCTTTGTCCATTGCGATAAAACCTATAACATTCCCTCTGCTGGAAGGGCCAACGCTGTGTCACCAGAATGCCTGCTCTAAGACACCTTCTACGTGCTGGCCTTTTGGGAATGCTGCAGTATCTCTGTATCCCGGTTTTTCACTTCTCCTGTGCACATTGTTTCCAAGTCACACAACTGCAACCCTGATGCAGCGATGTGGAAGTGACACAACCGTTCTGACACAGGCACGGTGACCGAGAACACCCGCACTCACTGCTAGCAACCTGCCATGAGGTGCTGCTGACTCACCTGCCTTGCAGAGGCAGAGGGAGATCTTTCAACCCCCGGCACTCCTGCCGTTCGCTTTCCCAAAGGGTCACGTTAGGCAACTGCTCTTCACAGCCTGCGCCGAAATGCTGCAGAAAGCACTTCTACACTCCCATTTCTCCTTAATTACTTCAGATGGTACTAAGACGTGGGTTACACCACCTACTCCTCAAGGCATTCAGCGCCTTGTCAGCACCGCGCAGGTAGTGCTACGTCCCAGGGACAGGAGATGGCCGGGGTGTTGTTTTCTCATTTGTAAAGAGGGGTCAGGGGAAGCAATAGTTTCACCCTTTCCGCTGTTGGGAAGCCATTCCTTCTTCTCGCCTTCAGATTGTACTTGCGCATCCCGCTTTCTGCAACAGCGGCCCGCAGCACCTGCTGGCCTGCATGCTGCCCTCAGGCTGGAACAGAGGAAAACCAGCAAGTTATCCTGGCTGGGGTCTACATCTGCTTTTCTTCCCATCGGTGAAGAGTTTGGAGATGCAGTAGCTTATCTGGAGAAGTAGCCTGGCGTTTATTTGAAATCAAAAGGACACTCAAGTTCTTGGTCAGATGCACATATTCCACAACAGTAGAAACTATTTTATGGGCGTAACAGGAGTGAGAGTAAAATGGACCGAGTTAGGGGCCTCACCACATACATAAAAGCAATTTAAGCAAAACACTAAGTGGGATATAAATTGACCACAAAAACTACTTCCCAGCAGAAAATTATGTCCCCAGAACTCCTACAGGGAGGCCTGGAACAGTCTTCCAGAAAGAAAGCTGAAGCAAAGACCTCAGTAGTTACAAATACTGCAAGACTCATTTGAGAACAGGAGTACAAGTCTTTATGGAACGGAGAAAGCTTGATGTGCCCAGGGGTCTTTCACATATGAATTATTTGGGTCGGTGCGGGGTTTTCTTCTCCCCCTTTCCTCTGATTAGAGACAGAAGGGGGTGGAGTGGATTTCATTAAAGGCTGCACCAACTGATTTAAAGATTGTTTTATGGCTAAAGTACAGGGTTGCGTAACCTGTGCTGCACTTTCTTCTTAACTTTTTTTGGAAAGAGTCGGCCAAGTCACAATTAGCGCTGACTGCCAGCAGCCTAGGCTGGCTTCCTTCAGTTTACCCAATTCATATAAACTGCATGGACGACGTTAACATTTGCAAGCCATTGTACAACAGAGCCTCCAACCCCGCTAAATAAAGATAAAATGGTTAAATATTTATACTTTGCTGCTTTAGGTAGTTTAACATTTAGATCAGAAGTCATTCCTCAACATCCCTCCTCTGGAAAAAAGCAGAGAATGTCATGGGACCTCATGTCTTGACAACCCATTCCTTTCAAGTAGTTTTGACAGAAATGGGACTACCAGTTCATCCAGCTCCGCTTCGTACGCGTACTCCAAAAGCAATGCCTTCAGTGGTTGTCACCGCGCTGCTCTTCTCAGCCTGGCCCCGGGGAGAGGCCGTCTCTGCCGGGTGCCAGCAGCACCGGTGCCTGCTTTCAGGAGAAGCAGGGCTGCTTTGCGGTCAGACAAGCCGGCAGCAGAAGCAGCACCTGAATTCATATTAGATTCCACTGCAGGACAGTCACTCCCAAGCTACGGTCCCCATAAGGCACCTGTTGCCTCTTCAAAAAGTCCTGTCCCACTGCATCTTATGTTGCAGGGATCAGAGACAACCTGGGGCATTACTTGCTTGTGCTGCAATTATAACTCGGCACAGTACACATCGTAAAACACTCCTTGTGCTACACAGCACTTAGGGCCGTATCTTAGGGCAGGACAGGAGGTCTTAAAGCAAAAGGGAACTTGAGTCACCTCTGGCACAGGTACAGGTGAGAAAGGGAACATCAAAAGCATTGACCTTTAATTCCTGGTCCCAGACTGAACTGTAAGCTGGGGTTTTTTTGGGGGGGAAAAAAAAATTAATAAATTTCTACCTCACAAATAAACCCAACCATTTCTCATGTTCCGTTTCAGAGAGCGACAAGATTGTACTTCAACGACTGACCAAGTTTCTGACGGAAGAGACCCAATGATCAGCCACTGGTTAAGCGACTGAAGAACCAGAAGACAAGGGCCACTCTCTTCACTTCCTCTCAAATCCATGAGCACCAACCTCAATCGGTTCGCTTGTGTTCAGCTGTCCTCAACTCATACGACTTCCCCAGTCCTTCCACGTCCTTCTCTCCCCAACAGCAGCTGCTCTGTTTTCCATCTCTCCTCATCCTCCTCTCCTTCCCGGGTCCTAGAAACAGCTGCACCATACACAACCACTTCGGCTTGGAGCTCCTCTTTCAAAAGGCACTGGGGCATCACAATGTTTTTGGAAATGGATCTGTTTTTTTCCATGCAGGTTACCAAACACTGAGGCTGCAACAGTCAGAATGAGCTTGAACTGTCTCTTCTTGGGAAGGGAATTATCACAGTGGAGGAGATGCTGGATGTACTGCTCATGTAGAGCTGTCCCTGGGGATTAGCCAACTTGCCCTAACAGCTCAGGGAAATACGTAGTTTTTGAACAGAAAGACCTGATGCTGCACTATAGCCAAGTACTCCTGTTCTGCTCAACGGCTTACTGAAAGCAGGTTGGTTTAAAAGAAGCAACAAATATCATGAACATTGAAATTATTAGTTTCTATTGATGTTTCGAGACAGGGAATTCAAGACTACCCACGAAGTAGCATTATACCTCACTCCAGGTCATGATGAGTGAAGCTTGAGCCCAAACTCAACTGATGGCTTTGTGAGGACTACAGTCTACAACAACCAACTTACATCACGTTGAAGGTTAGGTATTTAAAGGAGGTTTATTGGGCTAACACTAAATTCGAACAGCCACAAGTTTATTTTCCATGTTTACCACACCAAGTGTTGACAGATGAAGTCTCAGTGTAAAGTCCAAATTTTCATTTCACCATGACTTCCTGAAACATGACTACAGATTTCAATATTTGGCATTTGGTCTTCAGGGAGAGAGATTATGTTTGAGAACATTCTACCAAACACATTTAAACTGTGACTCAAAACCAAAACAATTTGGAAGTTTTGAAACATAAAGCTGTTAGTATGAAATTAGCTTTTATTTTTTTTTACCGCAAAATAAATGCATATTTATTATTTATTCCAATGAAAACTGAAAAAAGGTATCTTAAGACAGAACCTTAAACAGAGCAAATATCGCAAACGTCCTCAAGTTCCTTCTGCTATTGCCCAGCTCTGCCTGGCTAAAACCACAAGCTTAATTTTTCTTTTTCTGTCAGTTTGGTCAATTAAAAGAAACACTTGAAAGCCCCAAAACTAGAAGTGGTATAAAACAAACCCAGGTACTTGTTCTCATCAGAATTTAGGTCCATGTGTTGCTACAAATTTAGATAAAACTTTCACTAACTGTTGTACTAAATAGGATTTAGTAACCTCTTCTGCAGTTTAGTTCGTGATACCTTGGTAAAAGAAGTCAATGCGTAAGCATGTCAGAAGTCAACGCTATAGTGTAACTACAGTACAACTCTAACAGGGCTTCTAAATACTGTTCACCAGAGTGATGTCTTATAGTTGAATTTCAGTTTCAGCAGGTACTTCAGATTTACCTGAGCAACATCATACACAATATACCTGGAAAAAACATTAAGGAATAATTACAGTTGTTGATATTAATAACAAAATCTCCAAACACAAACTTCACCTCTGAACTTACCAAACGGATGCCTGTGTGATTAATCAGTTCAAACCCCAAGTCTTTAAATTTGACTTTTCTCTGAATCTGAAAATGTTTTAACCAATAGTTGGAAACAAGCAACTAAGAGTCATATGGAGCACTAACAATGGCACACTAGGAATCCTGAGAGATAGGCAGGTGAACTGACTCGGATACAGGGCTGCAGCTCTTGAAGATTAATTTCTGTCAGCCAGAGCCACACCACACATCATCTCTCTCGCTGCCTAAACAGTGGAGCGATGTAGCCTAGATGAGATCTGCAGTTACAGACCTGGCACCTACAATTAGAATTGTACCTCTATTGCTATCTTCCAGCACAGAGTCATCACTGTCTTCTTAATTTCCCACTAAAAACCCAAACTGGAATTGTAGAGAAGAGCTCCACAATGGTTGGCAGTGCTTGCAAGTTCTATGACTGCACCACACCCTTTTCATTTTTCATAAGACAGTCCCACCTCGCCTATTTGTTTCTCAATGCTTTAGGCCTCAAACTTAACTCTAACCCCAATTTTAGATGAAAAGCTCCATTAAACACAGTCTAAACCAAAAAGAATGCATATCATGTTACCTCAATTAGCTATTATTAACCATTATCTTTTATCATCTGACCAAGACTGATGCTATATTTAAGAAAACTCAAGATAACAACAGTATTGCCATGAGTTCTGTCGCCAAGACTGCTGGTAAGGGGAAAACAGCTTACCAAAAGACAGTTTCTACACAACCCAGCGATTGTATTAACAGGTTATTTGCTTCACCAGCAGTCAAGAGATTGATTTAGGACCTTAGGCATCGCTTATTCTTATGACCTCTAGTGAATGTTGAGCACGCATTCATTTTGGGGTGTTTCTGCCTAGAAACAGGCCGAATGGCTACCTCTCTGATAGGCATCCAAGGTTTACCTCAACACTTGCAAAAGGTCTGGGAAAGACAAGAGAAGCTGTGTGATGAGAAACACGAAGGCACAGAGCCTGCTCCGCCACCTCTGCCTGGCCAAGCTGGCCAGCCACAGCACCACAAGGAAGAAACCAGGCTGGAGTGATGTGAAACAACCACAGGTTGCATTCCCCTTCCCTCCTCCTGGCACGTCTCTGGGCAAGGCATTACTCCAATGCCTGCAGGTACTGAGTCCTGTTGGGGCAACAGCTATTTGCTACGTGTATTGCGTCCTCTTTTTTTCAGCATGCCAATTTAAATGTGGCAGCTAAAATTATCTCCCTTGGAGAAGAGACTCTAAATTGTCTGTGAACACCCCAAAACAGATCTAAAAAGGAACAAAACACACTGTGCCAAAAGCCCTGACCGACACTAGTGAGGTCCTGCTAAACTCAGTAACACGCAAACACAGCATGTGGCCAACGTAAAGGCAAAGGATACTCGTTATACAGAAGACAGGTATCATTAATTCCTGTGGAGATCCCATTCCCTAAGGGAACCTCTACACCACCAAGGGTGGTAGTGGCTGTGGGATCAGGTGCAGTTTTGCCCAAGCCTAGAAAGGGAAGAAACATTAAGTTACAAAACTAGAAGGCAAACATAGACTCTCTACACATAAAATGACTCAGCCAGCCAAATATTACTCCACGCGTATTTTCAAATGCTGACCAAGTGCAAAAGTATCTTAAAAACCACAAAGGATATAGTCTGTTTCTTTAGTTGAAAATCACCATACTAATGGTAGTTGTACTCTGCTACATTAGAAGTGAGAAATTTAGACTTTTGGCTGTTAATTGTCTAATCTGTATGATGAAAGCTAAACCAGACCAGAATTACAGCTCTCACATCCCGGGTCCCTTAATGAAAACATGGACATTGCAACATTTTGGGGAAAGTGTAACAAACCAATTCTTATTCTCCTTAAACTCTCCCAATACAAATCTGTTTTGACAGCCATAATACAGTGAGAGTAGTATGTATTGAAAAAGATGATAAAAATCACATTTTGTTCTATTTTAGGCACCTGATTTCTTAAGCCTCTCAGACTGAATAGTTTAAGAAAAGCTGCTCATTACTGAATGTTACTGTTCTCCGCTCTCCCATCTTGGTACAGAAGATAGCCATGATTACCATTTCTTTTGCTTGAATTAGAGCGCAGAGTCTTTTCTCTCATCTTCTTTTTCAGTGCAATATACTGATACTTTTTGCAGATAGAAATGTAATGAGAACAGCTGTTCCATCTGAACTTTTATTCTTAGCTTCTCCCTTCTCTCCAAGCTTCTAAGGCACTTTGAAAGCGAAACAATTATACTTCTGATCTATCAAACCTCTCATCTTTCTTCTAAAATACTTAGTATTGTTATAATGAAAGTGAGTAAGAAGCAGAACGCACCTTACGTTTGCTCTCGTGCAGTAGCAAATGAAAGTCTCCTCCTGAACTTCAGGCAACACATTAACTTCAGTCTTAAGATTTGAAGCGTACTACCTCCCATTTCAAAACGCCACATACACGTATAGAGATGCAACTACAGGGCAACATTGTGCAAACTCTCAAAGGAGGTACTGCTGTGAAATGACCAGCATGCTCTTCGCTAAGCAGAGAGCCACAACGTGAGTCAGCCATCGCTAACAGATCCATGATGAGAACAGCTAATGCTTACCTTTCACACTGTGTTTTCCCTTGGGCAACTTTGTTATGTGAGAAGCATTCTTTAGCTCATACCTGGACAGCACAAAGAACACACAATAGCATTTTACATTCATCAAACTATCTTGGGGAAAAATGGCAGGTTTTTTAGGCTTCACTTTATGGTGTTAATCCAAAGTTAATTTAGATTCTGCTCTTTTGGAACTCAGCCACCTTCCTTCTTTGTTTCAGTTACTAATTTTAATGATGATGGCATTTAGTACAAGATTCTAGAACCGCAACACTGATTATTTTGCCCCACCAAATAGCTCACATTTTAAGGGAAAAAAAAAAAAGGAATTTTGCTTCTAGAGAAATACAAAGCACTTTTTCTTCACACGGGAGAAAAGGCTTGCAATTTTAGCATCACCTACCACGATGTATTAAACACATTCTGCAAACACTCTTTGTAAGTTACTTACATATTTCCAAGGGCAACCTCTCCCAGTAGTATTAAGCCGATGGGATCAGCCTGAGACGTGTGACAGTAGTTGGCACTCTTGGATACCATGTCTGCAAAATAGATGCCTTTCCCAAACATGTAGCCAGTCTGCAAGCAGCAAAAGAAAAAAAAAAAACAACCAAACCAACCTGATTGGAGCATGAATACAAAGGCAGCACTGATCCACCTGGCTGGGCTCCCAGGGGAGCAAAGCTGCAGCTCAAACTCTTGTGGACACCAGTCAGAAACTGACTCTGGACACACACAATGCTGTCTGCGTGCCGAGAGGTAACACGCAGCCCTCCCCACACGGATATTTTATTCCGGTTGTCCCCGACTGTGGCCATCTCCGTGCACAGGTATGGAAGCAGCCAGAGAAGCAGTGTTTAACGTACCACAGGAGCTTCAGGGGGAGCTATCCGGAGACCCTGCGAGAGAATACCAGCGAAGTTTGTGGTGCGGGAACCGTGCCACAGCAGCTGGCGATTATGGAGCTGCTTGAATGGCTTGTAACGCTGACTCTCTCCTTCGCGCTCAATCCTGAAGATCTTCAGTTCAAAAAGGGATAGGAGAAAAAGAACAACGGAGCAAACAAACTGTTACCTTCATGCAACTAATCAGAAGGAAAAAAAAAGAAAAAAAATCACCATCCAATCTGGAATATACACTGATCTGCTAGGAAAATTGATCTGGATGGTTTGTTGTATTTGCTGTTTGCTATGTCATGCTAGCAAAAAAGAGGTAGAGTTGATCACAGAGTACTTGTTATTGATTGCTTCTCCACCTTCCCGTCTGCATTTTCACGAGGTCATAGTTTACTGAAGAATCATTCAATGAGCTAAGGCTCAGGTTTAGCAGATGATTACTCCTCCACCTCCTTTTTGAGGCCAATTAAATTAACATAAAAACACACCCCCAAAGACACCTCAGTAAGCTTAGACTCATCTCTGCCTAGACTTTTGCTATTCTACTACATAGCAACTGGTCTACCAAACCATCTCTTCAACAAAAGGATACTGGAGAAGTTACTCAAAGACAAAAGGAAACTGCAAGCAAGTTGACTTCACTAACATAAACCCCAGTATTGCCCAGCTTACATCCACGACTTTGAGATCATATGCATTGTGAGTAGCAGCATGAGTATTTTTCACATATTGTTTAATAATCTTGGCTTCTTCTGAATCTTTGTCAACAACCTGCAAAGAGAGAAATGAGGAAATTTTTTAGCATACAAACTAGGAGGCTTCTTATAACATGACGACATCCACCCTATACTTGCAACTTCCTGTAAAAGCCTCCTTTATCATTTAGATGGACATTTATTCCCAGCTAGAGATGTACAGGTATACAGACAGCACTCTGTCCCAGGATGTTTGAGATGGGAAGGCACCTCTGGAAATGGAGATGATTTCCAACTCCCCTGCTCAAAGCAGGGTCAGTTGGAGAAGAATGCCAAGGGCTGAGTCCAGTCTGGCTTTCAATGCCTCCAAGACTGTAGCGTCCACAGCCTCTCTGGGCAACCTTTTCCAGTGTTTGACCACCCTCGCAGCAAACAAGCAAACAAAAAAACCAACCCAAACACCACCACAAGCTTTTCTTTACAAACAATTTCCTGTATTTCAATTTGTGCCCATCACCTCTTGTCACTGAAAACCACAGAGAAGAGCCTGTCTGTCTTCTTTATTCCCTTCCCCCATCAGGTATTTATAGACATTGATAAGCTATACCCTGAGCCTTCTCTTATCTATGTTAAAAAGCCCCAGCTTCCCCAGCATCTCCTCATACAACACACGCTCCAGTCCCTTAACCTTCTCGGTGGCCTTTCAGACAGCCAACACATCTGTCCATTTACGGTTTACACGACCTGTTATACTCCAAACCAACAGGACATCAGCTTGTATTCACAGTCACTCATTTCCTTTTATTTTCTTTACCTTAATATCAGTTCGAAGTTTTTCATAGTTTATGTCAATTGGGTCTTTATCTCCATCTTCATTTCCACCTCTGAGAAGGCTGTAAGCAACCTCAATATCAAGCAAGTTGTCCAACATCTGCACTTTTGCCTGAAGAATGTAAAGAGGTCATTTTACTTGTGCCTCTGACATGTTCAGACTAACTCTGGAATATTTCAAATTATAAAAGTGTATGTGAATCACTGGCCACACATTGCCATCTAATAACACGACAATGCTGTCTTAAGAAATATATACACTTAAATATATTAAAATACACATACACACACATATAAATAGACCATAATCATAGAAACATAGAATCTTTTACGTTCAAAGAGATCCTTAAAATCAAAATCCAATTGTTAACCCAGCATTGCCAAGTCCACCACTAAACCACATCCCCAAGTACCACATCCACACCTCTCTCAAATACCCCCAGGGATGGTGACTCCACCACCTCCCTGGGCAGCCCATTCCAATGCCTGACAACCCCTTCAGGGAAGAAATTTTTCCTAATATCCAATTTAAACCTCCCCTGGCACAACTTGAGGCCATTTCCTCTTGTCCTATCACTTGTCCCTTGGGAGAAGAGACCAACACCCACCTTGCCGCAACCTCCTTTCAGGGACTTGTACAGAGCAATAACATCTCCCCCGAGCCTCCTCTTCTCC